GCTGTGCTGGGGGCCAATCGCGTGTGGGCGTGGGGGGATGGGCGTCATGCCTGGCTGCCAACCTCCCCTCCCCCCTCCCCCTCTTCTTGCAGCGGCCCAGGCAGGCATTCCAGGCAGGTGCACGTGCGTGGGTTGTGGCAGGCGGCGCCGTGGGCGGCACCACGGCATCGCGATGCCGCGGTACCGCAGCAGCTTCCCCCCACCTTCCAGCTCGTGCTCGATCAGCTTCTTGTGCGTGATCGGCTTCAAGCAGTCCAGCACGATGATGATGAGGTTGCAGGTGCGCGCCGTGGAGATGACCTGGCGGCAGCGGGGCGGGGGTGGGGGGCAGGCGAAGATGAGGCAGGGAGGCAGGGAGGCAGGCGGCAGGCGGCAGGCTGCGGGCGGCGGGTGTAGATCAGTTCACACGCTGCCCCTCCACGCCCGATGTGGGGCAGGAGCAGCGCGGTGCAGCGGGGGCGCGAGGGGTGGAGGGGCGGAGTGTAGCAGGGGTTCAAGGGGGTGGAGGGGCGCGGGGTGAGGTTTCGGGTGCGGGCAGTGGAGGTGGGGTGGGCCAAGGGGGCAGGGCAGCGGCTGTGCCGAGCAACAACAACGATGGCTTCCCGGCGGGGGAGGCTCGGCCGGGCAATAGGCACAGCGGCAGCGGCAGCAGGCGGCGCGGCGCCTGGGGGGCATCAGGCCTAACCACCAGGTTTAGCCGGGCGTGGCGCCGGCGGCGCCGGCAGCAGCACCGCGCAGCCCCCGCACGCGGGCGCCAGCCCATACCCACGCCCCTGCCCCCCACGGCAGTAGGCGCAGCTTGATTCGTTGTGTACTGTCGAATTCAGTGCCCTACCTGCCGCCCGCGGCCCTTGCCGTCCTTGGCGCCCTCAATGATGCCGGGCAGGTCCAGCAGCTGGATCTTGGCGCCGCGGTACCTGCGGTGCCATGGCAGGGTGCGGTACCACGTCAGGCCAGCGCGGTGGTGACAGACAGGAGCGGGCGCCACTAGCCGGGAGACGGGGCTCTATGTGCTGTTGGGGGATATGGAAAGCAGCCCGAGGCAGCCGCCGGGCGGAGCTTGAAACCGATTCGAATGCTGCGAGGACGGCCTGCCACAAACGCCACACACACACGCTCACACATGCACACATGTACGCACACACACACACACACCTGATCATCCCAGGGATGCAGGTCAGAGTGGTGAACTCTGCGGCAAGGGAGCAAGGCAGAACAGGCACGCCAGCTGACCGCACCATGCCGACTGGGCGATGGGGCGGCAGGCGGGAGGGACGGTGGCGCGCGGGCGGCCATGGCCCGAGCAGGCAGGCAGGCAGGCCGGCGGCGGGCAAGCAGGCAGCCAGGGGCGCGCCACAGCCGGGCGCAGGCAGGCGTGCGTGCAGCGTGCAGGGCGTGCGCGGGCAGGCGGTACCGTACATGGTACCATGTATGGTACCATCCCATACCGTAGCCGGCGGCCTCGCTGAAGGTGCCCGTGACCTTGGTCAGCAGCGTGGACTTGCCCACGGAGGGGAATCCCACCAGCCCCACCCGGGCATCGCCCACTGCAGCACGAGCGGGACAGGTGGAAAGGTGTAAAGGTGATTGGGGGGATGAGTGAAAAGGTGAAAGGTGGACGGGTGGGAAGAAGGAAAAATCAAGCAGCGGGCGGCAGGGGCGTGGGCCGTGGGGAGGCAGGCGGGGTGGGGCGTGGTGTGTCCGGCCAGCTTTCGGCGGCTGGGGAGGGGCCGGCAGCGCCCGCATCACCCTGCCACCACCCGCACCCGCCCGCCGGGGAGCCGCCACACCCACGCCCACGCAGCGCCTGCCCCCCGCCGGCAGACAAGCAGCAGCGCCGCCGCACCTTGCTGGTGCCACCCGCCACGCAGGCGCCAGCAGCGGCAGCCGGCAGCAGCTGACCGCCCAGCCACCCAAGCCACCCAAGCCAGGCGGCAGCCGAGTTCAGCCCCCAAACGCCGCCAGCCGCCCCACCGCCGTCGCCAGCCGCCGCCGCCGCCGCACCTTTCTGCACGTCGAAGCCGGCGCCGGCGCCGCCGCCGCCGCCACCGCTGGGCTCCAGCAGCTCGCGCCGCAGCTTGGCCAGCTTAGCCTGCGGGTGGCAAAGCGGCACGGTGGCGCAGGCAGGGCCAGGTGTGAGCTGCCGCAAGGCAGGCAGCCGCGCTTGCTGCTGGTGTTGATTCCACTTGTTCAATCGCAGCACGGCGCAGCGCCACCAAGGCTGGGGCCCCCACGCCGCCGCCGGCAGCCTGCGCCGCGAGGCAGGCTTGGCGGGCCGACAGCCAGGGCCGGCGGTCGGGGCGCGAGCGGCGGCCACCGGTGCGGCGGGCCCCATTCTGTCATCTCTCTCTGTTTCCTTAGTTCCCTGCTTTCCAGCTTGCCTTGAGCGTCCCCAGGTGGCTGGCTGTGGCCTTGTTCTTCTGAGTCCTCGCCATCTCCTTCTCGATGTCCTGCAGAAACAACATTAACAAATGATAATAGAAACGATTGAACAGCAGCAGCAGCAGCAGCAGCAGCGTGACCACAGCTTGATGCAAGGACCAGTCTGCTGGAGGAAGTGCACGGTGGCAGAGCACCGCCGGGCTGTGCAGTCCTCCTGCTCACATTGATCTTCTCTAGGATCGACATCCTGGGCTTTGCGGCGCCAGAAACTGCAGGGCCTGCAGGCGGGCGCGGCGCAGAGGCGGCGTCGACGGGAGGGCCGGGGGCGGCTGGGGCGCCGCCACCCGCCGGTGGCGCGGCATGACAGCAAGTGCGCGAGGCGGCGGGCCGGCTGGCGGGGCCCGTGACGGCAGCCTCACCTCTGCTGTGTTACGAGCCGTAAGGCGCTTCGCTCAGTGGGGATGATGCGGTGTGAAGGGGGCAACGCACTGGAGCGATAGAATTAGGGCTCGCCGCTGCAAAGGATCGAGCAAGTGTGCGCTGGGGGGCGGACGAGAGAGGAGGCGGCTGCGACAATGTACAGACAGGATGTACTGCTTGCCCTCAACAAAGCAAAGCGATTGCGCTCAGGGCCGGCCTAGTGTGATCTTGGAGGGCTCGGTAATCGTGCAGGGACACGCAGGCGGCGAACAGACGAGGCCATGTCTTGGTTGCCCGAGCACCTGGCGTCGCTAGGTTTGCAGCTGCGCCTGCAGAGAGATGCCGTCCACTACCCCGCTTGGGCGCCGCCTGCGCCGGGTGCATGAGGGACCCGCCCAGCTGTCGGCCCGCCCCGCTGGGTGCCCTGCCGCCGCCGCCGCCACCAGACCCCGCCCGCTCCTCTGCAGGTGGCATGCCCATCGATGTAGCGGGGGTTGGGCAGCAGCAGCCCGAGCTGCAGGTGCGCTGTGCGGCCCTGCACGGGGCGCCGACACGGCAGCGCCAGCAGGGGCGGGGACCGCCGGAGAGTGTGGCAATCCTCCCTCTCTCGCTCCGTGCAGCACCCGCAATTGAATCTAGTGCATGAGCCTCACTGGCTGCGAATCCGCCCTGTAAGCCAAGCCAAGCCAAGCCAAGCCAACAACCGCCCCTCCACCCCCCCTGGCTGCAGGCAGGCTCCGCCAGCCTAATGACCGATGACTGGTGGGTGCTGGCGCCGCCCGCTCCTCGTCGGCGCACCACCTGCATCTTCTATTTTATATTTTTCTTTCATTTTAAAGTGCATTTGAGACTAAGATGCATTTGAGGGGAAAGGCCCGCTGCCATGCTCAGCCTTCCGCCCCGCCAACCTCTGCCCCCGCTCGTGCCCGCCCCCGCAGGCTGCGCCAGCTGCACCAGGGCCGCCTGCAGCAGAAGGGCTCCGCCGCCCGCGGCGGCGGCACCACCGCCGACGTCGGCTGGCTGCCTCAGGGCAGCGGCGGCGGCAGCGGCGGCAGCGGGCTGCCTCAGGGCGGCGGCCTCTCCCTGCATGACCCTCTCGCCTCTGCCACAGTGCTGTTCCGCCCCACTCCAGAGCCAGAGGCGCCGCAGGCTGGCCAGCAGCAGCAGCAGCAGCAGCAGCAGGTGCCGGCCGACGCGGCCGCACTGCACCAGGTGCAGCGGCGCGCGCTGCTGCAGCTGCGCCAGCAGATGGCGGCGGCCGCTGCGGCCAAGGAGCAGCAGCAGCTGCTGCAGCAGCAGCTCCAGCACGCTACCCACCCGCCGCCGATGCCGCCGCCGATGCAGCAGCAGCAGCAGCAGCAGTACATGCTGCCGGCCGACGGCGGGCACGCTGAATGGCAGCAGCAGCAGCCGCAGCAGCAGGAGCAGCAGCAGGGGCTACCGCAGCCCAGGCAGGCGCCCCGGCAGCAGCAGGGGCAGCAGCAGGCGGGGTCACAGCAGCAAGGGGGGGATCAAGGGGGCGGCATGGCGGGGCCGCTGCTGGAGGTGGAAAGCGACCTGCTGGAGAAGGAGGTGCGATTTGTGTCTTTTTTGCTTTCTTTCTTTATTCTTTCTTGCTATCCTGTGTCGCACATCCGCTCCCCGGCGATCCGTCCTATCTTCTAGCTGCTCGCTGCCGGCCTCCCTCATCCCGCCTCCACCCACGCCGTGACAGCCGCCTGCTGCTCCGCCCGCCCGCGTCGCCCCTCCTCCATACCTGAACACTTCCTTGAACCTGCACCCTGCCTTACACTGCCGCCCCCGCCCCGACTGCCGCCCCCCGCAGGGAGAGCGCGTCGTGTCGGCGCTTGGGGGCGGGCGCGCACAGCGGGCGTGGGCGCTCAACGCGCTGTGCCTGCTGAGCTTCCGCCAGGAGCTGCGTCTGGCGGCCGCCCCGGGCCTGCTGGCCGCGCTGCTGCCTGTGGGTGCCCGCCCACCTCCCGGCCCGCCTGCCTGCCCGCCTGCCTGCCTGTGCTGCTTTGCGTTGGGAGCCGCTGCCTGCCTGCCTGCCTGCCCGCCCGCCTCCCCGCCCGCCTCCTTGCCTGTCTCCCCGACCCCTGCCCGCCTCTGCCTGCTGCCCGCCTTCCACGCAGGTGCTTCAAGAAGGCCTGGCTGTGGCTGTGGGCCTGGCCGGTGACGAGGGCGGCGCCAGTACCGGCACCGGTGCCGCCGCTGCCAACGCGGCCGCCGACGACGACCGCCGCGCCGCCGCGGGCCTGCCGCCGCTGCCCGGCTGGCAGCGGCGGCGTGCGGAGCGGGTCTGCGGCGGCCTCTTCCCCGACCGTGCTCGCCTGGAGGAGCGGCTGCAGGAGGCGGCGGCGGCGGCGTGCATACTGCGGAATGCCGCTGAGGTACAGCAGAATGCGCCGCTGCTGGTTGATCCTCCCGTCATGCGCTGCTGGACTTGGGCACTGGATGCTGCACGGGAGCTTGTGCAGCAGCAGGTGGGCGACGCGTCTGGCGGCGGCGGCGGCGATGGCCTGCCTGGCGGCGGCCTGGCTGGCGGCCGGGACGGCGTGCCCAGCGGCGGCGAGGAGCAGCACCCCTCTGCCTACGACGCAAGTGATGGCGGCGGCGGCAGTACCGACGGTGGTACTGGTACCGACGGTGCTACTGCGCTGGTGGTGGGCGGCGGTACCGCCGCCGACATCTGCACCTCGTTGCTGCAAATGGCGACGGTCCTGTCGGGCCGCATGCTGCTCCCCGCTTTCTTCGAGTGCGGCATGCTGCTCCTCCGCTCCCTCCTTATCCTCCTGCGCCCCTCCTGGCAGCACTCTGCCGTCGCCGCGGGCGGCGTGGTGCTGCCGCCGCCGCTGGTCACGCTCGCCACGCTGGCGGTCACCGCCGTCGCGACCGCCTACCAGCCCAACACTGACATACTGCTCAGCATGACGGGGGCACCGAGCGGGGGCCAGCCTGGTGCTACGCTGATGCTGGTGGTGGCCGACCTGCTGGCCTGCCCGTTTGGGGTGTTCAGGTGTGGGTGGTGTGGGGTGGCGTGTTTAGGGTGGGGGGCCACGCGTTTTCGGTGGGGGGTGGCCGGTTGATATGTGTGTGTTTGTGTGTGTTGCGTAGAGGTGTGAGTTCATGCCTGTGTGTGTGTGATTTCCGGTGTGTGTGTGTGCGTGTGTGTGTGTGTGTGTGTGTGTGTTTGGGGGCTGTGGGGAAGGGGTGCCTGCGTGATTCCCTACCTGCCTGCCTGCCTGCCCACCCCCTGCCTGCCCTGCTTGCCTCCATCCTGCTGCCTCGCACCGTGCCTGAATCCACCCGCCCGCCTGCCCTGCACACACACTCCTTAACCCTGATTATTCACCAGCATAAACAACCAATCGCCAGCTATGCCCACACACTCACCCACCGGCTGCCTCCCACCCCACCCCCCACCCCCATACACCTGCCGCCCTCCCCCGCAGGCAGCACGCGCAGCAGACCGTCGATGAGGAGTCGCCAGGCTGGCGCCAGCTGCTCCCGACCGACGGCCAGCTACTGGCCGAGGGGCGGCGGTCGGGCCGGCCTGGCGGCGGTACCGGTGGCGGTACCGCCAGCTCCGCAGCGGCGGCGGCGGCGGCTGGCCTTGATGGCGGCGGCCGTACCGCCGCGGAGCAGTGCACCCTGGACATGCTGGCGGTACTGTCGCAGCTGCGATACCTTTCGGCCCTGCTGCATCTGCTGTGGCGCCTGATGACGGCGGAGGCGGCGGCGGGGGCGCACGCGCGCCGCGCCGCCGCCGCCTGCCCCCGCCTGCTGTCCACGCTGCTGGAAGTGGCGGTGCACAGGCGAGGCAGGGAAGGGGTGGGAGGGCAGCCAGCGGGGCGCGCGCTGGTGGCGGTGTGGGCAGGCGGGCGGGGGCAGCATGGTGGCTGCTGCGGTTGGCTGCGAAAAAATGTACTTGGCCCGTGAGAGCAGCGAGCCGCGCCTGGCTGGCGGCGTGGCGGGGCGCCTGCCAACACGCACGCCTGCCCTGCCTGCCTCCCACCAACACACACACACACACACGCACACACATGCCCCCGCAGGTGGCCGCAGCACCCGGCGCGCTGGCACGCGAGCGGGCACGGCGGCGCCGCCCCCGACGCCTACCCCGCCTACCTGCGCTTTCTTTCCCACGACATGATGCCAGCCATGCGGGAGCGGCAAGACCTGCTGCAGCCGCTGCGGGCCGACGCCGCCGCCCTGCTGGCGCTGCTGGCGGCCGATCCAGAGGTGGGGGTTTGTGGTGTGGGTGGGTGGGTGGGTGGAGAGCGGTGGGTGGTGTGTGCGGCGGCCGCGCTGCCGGCGCTGCTGGCTGCCTGGCCGGGGGTGGGGCTTGGTTTGGGGGTGACTGGGGTGGTGGGGGGCTGCTGTGGGGTTGTGTGGGATGTGCAGCGCACCTGCGCCACATGCATGTAAGCAGCAGCCTGCAGCGGCCCCGCCTGTGCCGCCAGCCTCGCCCCACCGCACCCCCGCTTGCCCCACTAGCCACGCCGCCCCCCACTGGCCCACGTGCGCTGCGCTCGTACTGCCCACCCGCCGCGCTCGGACTGCCCATTTAACGTGCTTGTACTGCCTGTGCCGCCCGCCTGCAGACGCGGCACAGCGTGTCGTGGTGCGAGGGCCAGCTTGTGACGGCTGTCATGCTTGGCATCGTGCCCCCCACAGAGCCAGGCATCTCCGCCCTGCTGGCGCGCTTTGCCGCGTAGCGCGGGCAGCGCGCGGGTGCCTCCACCGCAGCAGCAGCTCGCGCGGCCGCGCTTTGAGCGGTGTAGGGGAGGCGCACGGCTGGAGTCGGAGGCCGATCACACGCTCTCTCTGGCGTGTTGTGTAAACAGAGGTGTCAAGAGGGAGGCGAAGCAGGGGGCACTGTTCAAGGGGTGCGGTCAACCGCGGTGGACTCCCGCCTCGGGGGCAGTACATGCGTGCCGAGTAAAAGCTGCCCCTGGGGGCGCGAAGTGCGTGTCAGATCGCTCTGTACCGAGGTCCAGACCGCCGCCCGTCTCGCTTTGTCGTTTCTGTCCGCTCTCGATCTCTCGGGCCTCTATATTGCGGTGCAGCCAGCCACGCCCTGCTGGCCTCGCCGGTGCTCCCGGGCAGCTCGCCTCGCGCCTGCGCGCACAGCCGCCTCCGTGCCGCTGCCGCCCTCTGTGCACCTGTAGTGGCGGGCGCTCTGTGCTGTAGTGGCTGCCGCGGCCATGCCTGGCTTCAATCTGGCCAAGTGGTTTATCGAGGGGGAGGTGGACTGGGACTATTACAATGAGCAGCTGCGGCAGTGGGGCCCCGTGGCCGCCGGCGCGCTCTTTGGCGCAGGTGGGTGCTGCACCCGCCGCTGGCGCCGCCGCCGCTCTGCCGCTCGTCTCACAGGGTGCTGGTGCTGGGCAGGCGCCGCCCCTGCCATACCTGGCCTCACCTGCCGCCTGCCGCTGCCGCCTGACGCCGCCGCCTGACGCCACTGCCTGGCCGCCCCGG